AAAACCGAGAATCCATGATAACTATTAAAAAGTTCAGTGTATGATAGTGAGACGTCGCCTTGTCAAATTGAAGTTTATGACAGAACATCTATACTGTTCGTTTTGCAAAAAGATCCTTTCAATTTTTTTTTCAAATTGCTATTATATTGCATTAGATCATGAAAAATGTATTTAATATTAATTATTACTACAAATGTTTTCGACTGGAATAATTTTATAGTCTATAATCGAGCTATTCAAATATAGCGCGTCAGTCGAAGCGTTAAATACAGCGTACAGTGTTGCCATATTTCCTTTCATTGGATCAGATGTTTGTTCAAATTTGTCAAAACGTTATATATTCATTCCATTATCTCAATAATTACATTGTAAGTGCATATTCTTATTGTTTTAAAATGTTTAGTAATTAAATTCTTTAATTACAATTTTATTTTCCCGATCCTAACCATTTTTAAGAGCAATATTCACGTTTGATTAAAGTTTTTGCCCCAACTCCCATAAGAGCCTGGTATAGGAGCATAATTTTTAATATCAATTTTCAAAAAAACTACATTGGCAATCGATCTGATATTTTTACACGAGATAGTTTCCATATTTATTAACAGATTTCAATTGCTTTGAAAACTTTCATACCATTTTTTTTTCGGTATCGAACCTCCTTAAATGGAGCCAAAGTTGCGTAATCAGGGGACCAACATTATGCCTCTAAAAAATCTAGGTTAACATGATTAGCTTTCAAAATATTTGAAAAAAACCGAAATTTTGGAATTCGTTTTTATTTCATTTTAGCCTTGTTTGAGGTGATATTGAAAGAAGAACAACACTTTCTCATTGCCACTTTTTGCCCTCTATCGAATGGCATAATCAATTTTTACATGTAACGTTTCGTCTCTCCAGGACGAACCAGATTCAGACGTTTTGTCTCGAAAATTCATCTTCAGTGTATTCGTTCCAAATTTATCTAAATTTTTTATTTAGATTTCTTTGTTTATCGAATTATCGTACACTGTAAGTGTCGTTAGATCCTGCGAAATCCGTCTAGTAATTTAAACTATCACCACCACGCCTTAAAATAAAACATTATTAGAGTTTCATTCCCGTGTTCATAATTATTTGCAGACTTCTCGAGTGCTCAAAATTCAAACAAATTCCGATTTATTTTTTTCAGGATATTCATACAAATACGTCTATGACGTGCTCTTTCACAGTTGCGGTTACAGATACAATAAATTCCGATAATATTATGCCGATCTACATTATCTACCAAAATGAAAATGTTTTTGAACATATACTGAAATTTTTTAGAGAATAATATTCAGTTTGCGTTTTGGTTGTTCATATGCATTTTTAAAAATTAATTTGTCATAATAAAATTAAAATTGTAATAATGTTTTAATTTAGACGCAACAACTTATCGAGTTTGTGTATGACCAAGTGATGGTAATAGTAATAATAAATATTTTTGTGAAACTGAAATTGTAATATCACGACTTTTAAGAGCAAATACGCAACCAGTAATACATTTTTATAGATTTTATTAGACAGTTTGTCTAAATATGAATCAATGCACAAATAACAGACTTTCTCCCATTCTGACGGAGATTTTCTATGAAATGGACTTGGTTTGAAACGCAAATTACTTTTTGGTGCAAAGAAATTTGTAATTTACAGAACCGCTTGTTCAAAAGCGGCAAATTACAAAATTCTTTACAACAAAAAGTAATCCGAATTTCCAACTAAGTCCATTTTATAGAAAATCTCCGTCAGAATGGGAGAAAGTTAGTGTTAGTGCACAGTACAGGCCCCCTCTGGAAAGTTGATTACCACATACTTTATAACTCCCGAGGAGCTTCGTTTTGACGAGTCTACCACATTTTTCCTCTGCGACTTTTCTCGATTCCTCCGCTTTTCCATTCGGAAAAGTCCAAGAACATGGCAATTTCCCGGGCTCTTGAGAACTCAAGACCACATCTTTTATTTTTAGGTGAAGTAACTGGAAATTTTGTTGCAAATGCCGATTTCAATATGTCCGACAGAAATTCCTCCGACATTGACGTGTCTACCGGTCGAAACATGCCAAAATAACAGGGTATTGAAAATCAATTACCACATAGGTAATTTTTAAGTAAAATTAATTGTAAATAATTAATTCAGTCGAAAAGTATTGTTGTCCGACAAATTTCAAGCCGCGTTTTTTCAGTCCGACAGCTGGAAATCGGAATTTTCACGGGGTATGAAAAATCGATTAGCACATATCTAATTTTCATTTTTTCCACTTTTAAATTTACTGTACAAAATATTGATATAAGTGTCCGACGATTTAATGTCCGCAATTTATTAAAAAATCAATAAATCAATAAACGTGATGAAATTTAATATTTTCACTCGAAAATTTTCAAATTTATAAATGGTTATTAATTATTATGATGTAAATTATTATTTGTTTCAAATAAATAATTATAATATTGCTTATTTTATGCTAAAAAATTTAAAAGTTATAAACAAATGAAGTTATTTTTGAGGCGATTAATATTATCTTAGTCCATAATGCATTATTTCTAAATAAATTAATATTATACTTGATATAAAAATCCTTTTTACTCTTTCAAGTTTTCATTCGCATTTGTTATTTTTCTTTACAAAAATTTTCCTATTTTTCTAAAAGAAAATCCCAAAATTTTTGTGCATATTTTTTTTACACCATACATACCTACTTTTTTGAAATCGTTTAATTCTTTTCTCGATATTTATTTGGCTAAATTGAGCATATAGATTTACAATTACAAGAATAAAACGAAAAATATATACAGGGTGTTTCAGAAAGACCTCCCATAAATAAAGGGGGTGATAGTATGACAAAACATGAGAATTTTTTGTCTTATGAATTATATGTCTATCTCCTCTTGTTTTCGAGATACAGAGAGACAAAATAAAATTTTTTAAATAACATTTTTATGAAAATTTCCAAATGGTGCGAAATATTTTTATGAAATTTGGTAGTCCGAGGTTTTTAAGTGTGCCAATTACTTTTGGTATATTTCATAGAGGGCGCTAGTTATGCTACATTCTTATTACAATTTAAGTTATATTTTTTTTAAGGTTAGATTTTTTACCAGTCGGGCTCCAATTTCTATTGTACAATTTTATTTTCTAAAAATAATGTACTCTTGTTAGAACTTCCTAATGTGGACGATTTTCGAGAAAAAAGGCTTTTAATTAAACTTTTACAATATTACACTATAAAATAAGTGACTTTTTTCAAAGTAAGCTTGAGGAGATAGACATATAGTTCATGTGACAAAAAATTCTTATTTTTTGCCGTCCCCACCCCCTGTATTTACGGGAGGTCTTTCTGAAACACCCTGTACTGTATATTTATATGGAATTTTGCTTAATACATGAAAATACCTTATTAGAAATTATAAATCCATGTGCACATTTTTTACGAATTTTTTTTCATCACTTTTTGTCGGACTGATGATTTGCGGATACATTTTTGTCGGACATCACAATTTTTGCTTATAAAAAACACTTTTCTATCGTGTTTTGTCCAATTTTTCATACCCCGTGAAAATTCCGATTTCCAGCTGTCGGACTGAAAAAACGCCGCTTGAAATTTGTCGGACTGCAATACTTTTCGACTGAATTAATTATTTACAATTAATTTTACTAAAAATTACCTCCTATGTGGTAATTGATTTTCAATACCCTGTTATATTGGCATGTTTCGACCGGTAGACACTAGTGCTGGCAAAAACCGGAAAAAAGTTAAACCGAGTTCCGTAAAAACCGTTTCAGATAAAACCGGTTAGTCGAATAGTTGCTAAAACCAGTTATTCGAATAATCCGTTACTTGAATCGTCAAAACCGGATATCTGAAAATCGGTGCTTTACAAAGACAGACCCGGAGAAATTGTCTAAAAAAAAAGGTCTACAAAAATCCGGAAGTCAAATTTGTTTACAAAGAAATCGATCTCAAAAAAAAAAGGTCAATTGCAATCGGACAAATCGATGTCTAAAAAAAAAAAGTATATCATCGAATAATCCGTTATTTGAATAATCGGATATTTGAAGATTCGAATAACTGAATAACCGGTTTTCGGATATTTGAAGAATCGAATAACCGAATAACCGGTTTTCGGATTTCATAAAAATCCGAATTATCTGAAACCGGTTAACCGACTATCCAAAAAACCGGATTCAGTTGCCAGCACTAGTAGACACGTCAATGTCGGAGGAATTTCTGTCGGACAAATTGAAATCGGCATTCGCAACAAAATTTCCAGTTACTTCAGCTAAAAATAAAAGATGTGGTCTTGACTTTTCAAGACCACGGGAAATTGCCATGTTTTTGGACTTTTCCGAGTGGAAAAGCGGAGGAATCGAGAAAAGTCGTAGAGAAAAAATGTGGTAGACTAGTCAAAACGAAGCTCCTCAGGAGTTATAAAGTATGTGGTAATCAACTTTCCAGGGGGGGACCTGTACTGTGGACTAGTAATTTTGCGTGACAATTTAAATTTTCCAAATTTTGACATTTATCATGAGAAATTCTTTTAAGTTTGATAATGTACTTGCTTTCAATAGATAGTTAGTTGTATTATGTTGCTTCTAGGTTAGAATATTGTAATATTATCTGGATTCCATGTTATAAAATTCTCACTATTAATTTAGAGCAACATTAGGGGCAATATTGGAAATTATTAAACATCAAGACCACTGGTACCTATTTAGCAAATGGTTATGGTTATGATCATCATTTACTTATAAATCAATATATTATAGTTACAAAGAGTTCTTATCAGTACCTGTGAAATTTCTACGATTACACTTCTTAGTACCCAACCTAATTGGTTACTTGACATTTTTATTTAATATTGTCTATTAGGTATTTCCTGCAGTTTTTGTGTAGTAAATATCCAACTTTTCAATGAATATTCCATTAAATAATTCGTTTCAATTAATAATTGTTTCCTTACACGCAATCAATTAAAAAAAAGGAATATAAATTATGTAAATTTTATTTACAAATTATATACAAAAACAATATTTCTGTCTTGCATTTCTTATAGAGATCTATTTAGGATTTTCTTCTGGCTGAGGATGAGCAGCAATCCATTCCAATGCTCTTTGAATTGCAGGTGGAATTGGTGGTGGAGTTGGCAAATGATCACCCTGAGGTTGGAATCCATTTTCATTAGCAATGTATGAAACATGGATTTGGGTTCCATCATCAGCAATATACTGATAAGAACCATGTACTTCTTCTGCTTCTGTTTCAGGATTTCCAGCATTTTTTAATTCTCCTTGTTCTTCAGCAGTAATACTGTTACCTGTTTCGAAACTAGATGAAAAAAATTATTACATATATATTTTTCAAAATCTAATGAAATGTGTCACAAATAGACAACTTGTTATATAAGGCCATATTATAACTCTATTGGCCTTTGCTTGAATTATTTTACGTTTAAAAGTCGTATTTATCTGGGTCCAAAAGTTTTCAAGATATAGAGTTGAAATTAAAAAATGTATATCAGATTATTTCAAATAGGTATAGGTAGTAGTTTTGTAGCTATTTTCGATTATTCAATTATGGGGCACCCTAATTTTAAATAAAAAAGTAATACTACAATTCAATCAAATAAACTTATCCTTTTTCCAAAAAATTCGTTGACATTTTGAGATTTTCATTGAGAATGCCTCTGCCACCGGTTGACGTATTTGTATAATTTTGTGAATTTTAATCATTAGCCTTTCTACAATCTACGTAAAACACCTTAAGACATATTTGAAAACAGATATTTGTTTTTACAATACCTCGGAAACAAATGGACTGTACTTCTAAGCATGCCCCTGATGTTTATAACATGAACTTAAAAAACACCCCGTAGAATAAATTTGTTTACCTCCATTGGTAAGATCCATCAGCATTTACACCTTCATTGTCGTATTTTAAAATTGGAATTGGTTCTGTTGGTTGTTGTGGAGCACAAGAAACGGCAACAAAGGCCAAAGTGAGAATAATCTATAAAAAATATGATTAGTCAAAACCAGGAATACTAATAGAGGCACAATTTAACGCTATCGTACTTATTTATTGGTCCTAGAGAGACAAGGGTTTGCAAAATTTTTCTGAAATTTTATAAATTGAATTTGTTTTGTTTTCTGTCGGTGTTGTACACTTTAAAAAAACTTATATATTTAGTTACGTAAGTGATTCGAACGTATATAATACCAGCAGAAAACAACTAACTAGAAGACTAGGTAATATTGTTAAAAATACATTACTTTTTAAATACGTTTCTGTTAATATAAGCAAATGATTGATATTTACTACCACACCGCAAATGTAATAAATAGTTTTTCTTAACATATATAAATAATAATAGAATAGAATGGAATACATTCATGTATTAATTTTAGTTCATGTTAAAAATTATAATTTCCTCAGTTTTTAAAATCAAAATAGACAATATTTAATCTGTGACTGATTGTTAGTTTGTTCTATGCAAGAAATTGCAATGTGTCCAAAAATGGAGTTAAATGGCAGACATTTTTTTATTTTTTATTTTCTGGATATGTTACTCTTCGTAAAAAAATCTGTTTGTAGTCAAATGTAGATATGTTCAAAAATTTGGTTTTAAATTTGCCATCATATACACATGGTGTCTCCTATAAATAAGTGACTACAAATATAGCAGTTTATTTTGACTTAATAACTTTGAGTTTGTGTTTTATAAGATATAAGATATTTGAAATATCAGGAGCAAAAAAAAAACAAAATACTTTTAGAAAAAGTTTTTTAATGGTAAAATTTATTTCCACAACAATTTGAAGCAATTGTTTATTATGATTTCTATTTGTAAAACAAATTTATATTAGATATGATTTAGATTAAATTTTATGTTTATATTCCTAATCCAGCAGCAATCTGTTCTGATTTTAAAATTCATTAATTAAATAAACTTTTACATTTTTACTGTCATCCTGCGGTAAAATTTAAAATTTCACAAATAAAGTCACGGAACGCAATTAATTAATTAAGAAATGGGGATTTTACAAACATACTTTTTACAGTTGGCGTGAATATTTTGCAAATTTTTTTTTTATAATTTACCAAAATTCTAATTTAGAATGTTGACAAAATATCTTTAATTTAAATTTTATCCAGTTGCAAATTATTATATTTTATAATAATAATAATAATAATTATTATTATTATTATTATTATTATTATTATTATTATTATTATTTCAAAAATGACGTGGTGTTATGACAATTTTTGTAACAATTACCTGATATACATGGTATGATATTTTACCATTTATCCTGAAAACAGTGAATTCTAGCGATAAGCAGCATGCATTCATCTTTAACAACTTTTAATGTTCTGTAATAATAATGAGTAAGTTTCAAAATATCTGTTATCCCTTTTCTTGTAACTTAAATAAATTTATGCTATTCTCTAAATTTTTAACATCCTGAATCTTGAAAACGAAGAGTTTTCGGACACATAGGCATATATAGATATATAATCGTATTTTATAATTTTTGTATAATAAATACCTACCAAATTCTTTTATTTAATTTTTCTTATAAATTTATACTACTATTATATAATTTTTTTTATTTGAAATAACATATTATTTTGGATTTACTGTAAATAAAGTAGCAAATTATAAAAGAATTATTTCTACAATTTAAAAAAAACATTCTACGAATATGACATTAAACGAAATGAATTAATCGGCAAAATGATTTATACTGTTCCTATTAACAATTTTTATATCTTGAATTTTACGTACCTAATTTATACTAAAAGGAAATTATCAGATTTTTTTTTTGTTTTCAGAAATAGGAAACATACATTCATAATTTTGTAAGTAAGCATGAACAGTTTACGAATATAGGTAGGTACGGATATTAATTTATGAAGTAAAATTTTAAAAAATAACCATTTCGACTATCATAATGATGATGAATGTCTATTTCACTAAGAGACGTCAATAATCACTAATCTTCTTTTAACACATATATAACCTTGGCACGGAAACACTAGCAATTATCACTTATTTGTAGTCACTTTTTTCTATACATACCAGTTTCATGTTTCAGTGGGAATAGACTAAAACACAACTATACATCTTATTACAAAATAAACTTATTTATATTTTTAAAATTACTTCTCCCACCACTTATTACCTGCCGAAAAAAGTACGTTAAGCATAATTAAACGCATATACACGAACTTTTATATCAGTGACGCAATCTTTTGAACATTGAAGATGACAGTTTTGTCTGGAACTTTCATTACCTACAATTTGTAATTAATTAGCGACGATTACTGTTTTTTAAGATTTGGTTAGCTTCAAAACATATGCGCCCAATCATTTATACAAGTAAAATATTAAATCGCTGTTGATTTAAAAAAATGTTTAAGTAAATTATCTATTGAGAAATAGAAAGTAAATATATGTCCATATGACCTATTATTATCGTATTTTGTTTTAATACAGTAAGAATTTTGTTTTTGAATAGCGGATTTTGTCATTGTTACTAAGCAATCCAAGTTTTAATTAATATTATTAATATGCAGTGTTAATCCATTTAATTTAGTTACATTTAATAAGAGAAAAGAAAAATATATTTAAAAAATTATCTGAAAAACCTGTGTCGAGTTACCACCGAGTCATAAAACACGCCGAGGTAAATAGGTCGGCGCGGCGCACAGTAGGACGAAACGCCACTGTCACATTCAAATTACTCTACACCCCACATAGTTCAACTGTTTCGGGTGAATTTTTTTCAAAATGTTCGTCTTGAATGTCCCTATCGATCCCTCATTTGGGATGTGGTAGTAATTACTATTAATTATTATAATAAGAAAATATCAGTTTTTTTTAAATATCCATTTTTAACTCATCGTACAGCACACAGACCGTTCCAGAGAAGATATTTTGATCCATAATTGAACTTTAATTTACGAAAAAAAAAAAACAAAACTTATTCGTATAAGACTTTTTTATTACAAATATTGTTAGGAAGCTATAGTTTAATTTTTATATATTATATACGACACACCCTGTACAATTTATTATAATACTTGTAGCAACATAAATACTGAAAAATTGAAGTATTTTGTACTATTAATACGTTGAGCTTTTGTGAAAAATGTCATCAGAACCATGTAGGTATTGTAGGTAAGTATCTTAATTTTCTTCTGTGAGTATTTTTACCTCAGCGAATTATTTATGTAGCCGATATAATTTATTATTTATAGTTATAGCTAAAATAATAAAAAAACATCGAATTAAAATCAACCAACTACCAAGCGTAAAACCGGTGAAAAATTTTAGAACCAAAATATAGAAAACGAATTATGAACCTCACCTAAGTTCAGTCTTTAGGTATATATTTTATTGCAATACAATAAACTGTAGGAAATTTCGCAACCTGGGGAAAAATTAGATGAACCAAAAGTTGTTTAGAATCACTCGAGGAATACTCAAAAAAATTTTCCAGAATTTTTGGATATATTTCTATATTTTTGGATTTGGACATTTTTTGAAATGTCCCAAAATGTGTCCAAAAATTCTGGAAAATTTTTTTGAGTATTCCTCGAGTGATTCTAAACAACTTTTGGTTCATCTAATTTTTCCCCAGGTTGCGAAATTTCGAATTAAAAAATCGCTTCTTCACGAAAATTTTTGGATTATGACCGATTTTGCGAATATGAAAAATTTTTCTCCCGACTTTCACACAGACAGTTTTGTAGTATTTATCAAAACGAAGATTTTCAGCAGAAAAAAATTTCGAAAAACATCAACTTGCGCCATGTAGGACCACATTTGCGCCGAAAATCAGTTTTTTTTCATAAAAATCGAAATTTGGGCTCAATTTTAAAAAAAATTAAAACCGAAATCAAAAATCCCAAATGAGGGATCGATAGGGACATTCAAGACGAACATTTTGAAAAAAAAAAATCACCCGAAACAGTTGAACTATGTGGGGTGTAGAATAATTTGAATGCGACAGTGGCGTTTCGTCCCACTGTGCGGCGCCGGAATTGTTTTTCTGTTTAGAATTGACGCAAGAAATCTATTAGAGTATTGTGTCGTGTCTATAATAAGTTAATAACCTAAGTTTATTTAAAGATAGATATAACGGTACATCATTAATAAAATAAAAATACATTTTTATACATCGCAGTAACTTTTTAATAAAGTAATAATAATTATTTTTCGTCGTTGCGCGTTCAAAATGCGACATGTGCATATTTTCATCAAAACGGGTGAAGTGAAGAATTCAATACAAGAGATCAAACTGCAAAATCTGGTTAAAAACAGCCATATTATTTTCTAAAGAATTGTAACTGTCCGAGGTTTGTAATTATTCTTAAATCCCAATTTGGTCAACTTGCCTGAATTTTTGATATAAGTTAGTTCGAGGTATATAGTAACAATAAATGAGTAAGTAATTTTTTTTCAACCCCCTGCCAGTTGTGAAAAAAGATAAAATAAAGGGATTTTCCAAGATAACTCAAAAGGGGTAAGAGCTAGAAACAAATTCTTATAAAAGTTGTAGAGCATAAAATTCTGCATAAAATTGGTCTATTGACTTTCACTTTTAAAATTAACAGAGTTAGGGGGGCTAGAAGTTAAGGGTTGATTTCAGAAATTAAAAAAATCATAACAAGCAGAAATAGATATATTTTTTAATTTTTAATAAAAAAGTTATAACAATTTCAATTTTTTTATTCGCTAAATTTTATAATTTAAATTTAAAGCACTTTTTTTCTATTCCATTCAATTGATTATTTATGATAATGAAAAATTGCTTTCGAAATTTTGTTTTATGACAAAGATAACAATCCCGTTCGCTTTGTGAAATTGTTATAACTTTTTTATTAAACATTAAAAAATATATCTATTTCTCTGAAAAGATAGTTCACACTCTTTAGAGCAGATTGAAACAAAAAAAATTATAAAATTCATTCATTTTTCTGCTTATGGATTTTTAAATTTCTGAAATCATCGCTTAACTTCTAGTCTCCCTAACCCCTAACCTGTTAATTTTAATAGTACAAGAAAAAGTTAATAAACCATTTTTATGTAGAATTTTATGTTTTTTTCTCTTACGCCTTTTGAGTTATCTTGAATATCCCTATTTTATCTTTTTTCACCTCTGGCTGGGGGTTGAAAAAACTAAGTACTGTAACTTATTATTATTATATACCTCAAAGTAATTTATATCAAAAATTCAGGCAAGTTGCCCAAAATTGCGATTTAAAGGTCCATTTAAACAGATTTAAGCACTTTCATAGGTACTGTTTTTGACACCTTTCCAAAGTGCCAGTTCCAGATGTGCAATGGGTGTTAGAGACAAACTCGCAAAACACCCGTCTAGTAGTTCCGATTAGCCTAAGGACCTCCTCATGACTAATCCATCAGCACCCCACTTCAGTACCGTGACAAATACACCACACAAAAATAAACTCCTATCCTCCCTTCAAAATTCACCTATCTTTCTAATCGGAACTCGAAAACTGGTTATTTGCTGCATAACGGCGTGAGAAGTGGACGGGACAGTTTCACTGATGTTTCCAATTTTCCCGTCGCCGCGTCAACAAATCGCTCCACGAGGCTCCAACCACCCCGATGTCGCCACAACGTACGACGTAAATTACGTCTTGAGGCCGAATATTGAGTCCGAATTCGGAAATTCAGAACATTTCCGAAAATTATGAAATTCGGACATATACAATACCTTGTCCATTTTGAAGATCCAATATGCGGATAGGCCGTAGGTGAAAATTATTTCACGTTTGGTTTTACCGGAAACTTGGTGTACCACCCGCTAACCTAAGAGATATCGGAGACCAGATCGAAATGCAAATGAACGTCGACTCTGGTCATCTGCAGTATTTTAAGCGGTGATGGAGGTCTGCCCAGAGTGTGAACCGACATTTACACGATTATGCCCGTCCTCTTGAATAGATTCACTTGTATTCAGATTATAGTATACATGACATTATTATTTATTTGTTGAATGAATAATTTTTAAAATAAATATTTTTTTGTGTAAAAGTTTTGCCAATCCGAGTTGCCACTCTAAAAGGGTTCATAGGAGTTAGACCTTTCTAAACGGGTTCATATGAGTTAAATAATTTTAAAGAATTGTATAGGAGCCGTGTGCTCAAGAAGTTCTTCAAGCTTATCGTCTACGCAGTTGTACCTATGATGCAGACCCATAAAGGGTAGAAATTAGCTTGATAGATGTTATAAATTAATGCTAGCCATACTAAGAGATTATAGCATCAGAGAACTATCAGAGAAGTGTTAGAATCAGTGCAAATGTGAGAGGCTACCGCCGCGCCGGTTCCTCATAGACTTACACCCGTTGCGCACATGCCGGAACCAGCTAACCGGATCCGGTTACCGGGCAGCGACAGAGTCATATGGCAGCTTTCACACGTGTCGGAAGGAGCTATCCGGCGAACGGCCGCCGGGTTGTAGCCGGTCGCCATCACTGCCAGCCCGGCTGCCGTGTACCGGCTAACCGGCAACCGAAGTGGTAGTAGTGCGTAGTTTTGTATTGACGCTTACACACTTGCCGGGTGCTTGCCGGGTTCAGTCGTCCGGTTTCACTGAAAAGAACAGGACGTGTCAATTATTTTTTTAAATATTTGTACGCAACTATGTCGAATGTTTGTTCGCTAGAAGTAGATATAGCATTATTTATATCACTGCTTGAATCCAGACCTTTAGCCTTTTCATATTTTTTGGATATTTTTCATTTCATTTTTTGTTTTTTTTTATCGCGACGACATCGCCAATAGCCAAGCCACATAATTGCAATGCGTCTACGATTCGTCTGAAAGAGGCTAAGCCTCGTTGCATACTTGCCCGACCGGCTAGCCGGATCCGGCTATCCGGATCCGGCTGGCTCTTTCACACGTAATTTAATTTTCAAACCGGTTTGGCCGATATTAGTCTCAGTTACATTTTTATCGCGACAAGAGATAGATCGTAGACGCATTGCAATTATGTGGCTTGGCTATTGCCGATTATTGCAATAATAGCCGGTACATGGCAGCCAGGCTGGCAGTGGTGGCGACCGGCTACAACCCGACGGCCGTTCGCCGGATAGCTCCTTCCGTTACGTGTGAAAGCTGCCATAAGACTCTGTAC